TCTATCTGGAATGGAAATCTTATACCTCTTTGTGAAGTTCGACCTTGGTGCACAGTAACCCATGTCCGGTATACTTACGTTCTTTAAGATTGCGGTGTGGTCTCCTGAGTGTCCCTCCAGCCTAGTAGTTCCCTCAACCTTAAGGCGGCACACCCCGCTGATTTTTTTTCAACAATTTCAATTGGCAAAATGTCGAGCAGCACGCACATGGCCTCCGATGGAGTTGTGCGCGGAGCCCCACAGATGCAAAGTATCGCAGTTCTTTGCACCTTTTGGAGTGCTTCAGTTTTAGATTTCCTGTTGAAACTTGGCCACCATACCAAGACCCCATATAATAGAATCGGCCTAACAACTACCGTGTATAGACAGTACATGCTGCTAGGGGAGAGCCTTCAGCTACGCCCAATCGCCCCCTTACAGCTGTAGAGGGCTACCGTCGCTTTTTTGACACGCTCTTGTATATTTTGCGCCCAGTTCAGCTTTTTGTCCAGGACTGCGCCTGGATATTTTGCGGACTCCAATAGCTCCAGAATCGTATTTCCCATGGCAGGGAGCTGAAGTGAGGGGATCTTGTACTTCCTGGTAAAGAGCACCAGGTCCGTTCTATCTGGGTTAACACCCTTTCACCTTTCTCCTTCGTCCATCTTTCGATTAACCTTAGTCTGTCCTGCATAATGTCACACAGAGTTTGTGGAAATTTTCCACTCACAACCACCGCAAGGTCGTCAGCATACGCAATGACCTTGGCGCCTCCCCCCCTTCCAGGGTCTGCAATAATCCATTAAAGGAGGGAGAGGACCCCACCTGCGGGGTTCCCCTGCAAACGTATCTGTCCAGCGACACCCCCGCCTGTTCCGCCCGCACGACCCTGCCTACTATCAGCTGTCGTATAGGCGACACCAGCTGTGAGATGTTTCTCAGACCCGTTAGAGCTGATGTGATTGCTTCAGGTGTGATGTTGTTGAAAGCACCCTCAATGTCTAAGAATGCTATCAAGGTATATTCCTTTATCGCAAGGGATT